CTCCTGATGGAGGGTGTCAATGACGGTCCTCTGGACAGCAGTCAGATCAGCAGTCTTCCCCATACTTGTGATTTAGTTTACTGAACCAAGCTGAGTGTTTTTCAAGGCTCAGGAAACCCTTGCAGGTGTTTCGAGTTAATTAGACGATTCAAGTGATTCGTTGAACACCCTACTAGTATACTTTTTCATGATATTCTAATATTTAGAGATAGGATATTTGAGTTTTCTTAAGCTGTATGCCATAATCAGCAATATTAAAATAATAAAAGGCTTGCAATATTTCAGTTGATTTGTAATGAATCCAGAATGTATGACATTTTTGTTTTTTTAATTGCATTACAGAAAATAAAGAACTTTATCACAATATTCTAATTTTCTGAGACAGTCCTGTAAAGACAGAGAAAGGAAACGATAACGTTTATGGTTAAGTGTTAGCACCCCCCGAAGAGGCACAAGCTCTTACGTTGATATTGGACATTTCATTAGATTCAATTTGGAAAAAACGGGAGGGAAAAAAACAAAACTTATATCCGAATAACGAAATTGAAACCAGAATAGTACTCCAACGAACGAATATTCGGGTACAGCCCTATTTTAAGGTACACATGAGGGTATTCACAGATCATGGAAATTCCCCATGAGGAATTATTAATGTTGCTTTTATTGCGTAATGAATATTATTCTCCCATCATCTCCCACGATCGGAGAATAATATTCATTATATCCGCTTATTACATTTTTTGACATTATTACTTGGTATAGTGGCCATTTTCTCATGTGTATGACTTTCATCATATAGCGTTATCTAAACCTTCACAAACTAATGAGCTAATCAAAATGTTTCACAGCAAAACTGTTTTCATTATACTTTCATGTTGACCCATTTTTCCCGTCTTCTCCCGCAGACCTTCCAGAACCCCGAGTACGTGGCCAGCCTGGTCCCCACCTACGTCATCCTGTTCGTGATGGGCATTTGGGCGTTTTACTCCGCCGGCGGCTCCCTAAGGAACCTCAAACTCTGCCTTACCTGCAAAGACAAGGACTTCCTGCTCGCCAACCACCGGCCCAGATAACGCAGCACACAAGGCGCTGTGCAGGACTCTTTACCCAAAGATGACCGAGTTCACACACACACACACACACACACACACACACACACACACACACACACACACACACACACACACACACACACACACACAGCGAGGAAGCAGAGTTAACCTTCTGTTAACCTGCTGTTTCACTAAGAGGTATTTCATCTTCAATCTAAACACGTAAAAGCAGAATCAGAGAAAGGTCCTTGAATGAAAGGAACCAACTATTTGGATTCATGTCCACCTCAGTTTGTTATTCAAAAATACAAAATGTCTTAAATCTAGCTGATAGTGTCCCCTGTTTGTTGCCTGATGCTTCGAAGCTAACTGACAAAAGGTGTTTTAGATAGAAACGTTTCACATTCTGTAAATATTCCAGTGTTTTCAACAATCTTCTTTTCAAATGTGTCAAAAGGTGGATTTTTCATTTCTGATCAGAACTCTTTGTGTAAATATTTATGCATTTGTAATTCCCTGCTGTGTAGATAGTGAAATCTTTTTTCAAGATGTGATGTCTTTTAGTCTGTGTAAGAACTTGCCTTTGATTTGAAATGAACACAGATTGACCGTTTGTTTGTTTGATCGCAGTTATCTAGAGACCATGACTTTATAACTTCTGTAGGGCAATTAAATGAAATCACCATGACTTCCTTTAGTTGATTCTTTTGTTCCACGCTTGAGTATTTATGTCTCAAAGATAATGGTTACTAATTAGAAGGCTGAATGCAAAAACATTGCATTTCATTTAATTTGCACGCTTTTGGCCAATTGTACTTCTCATGGTATTCCAAACCGCTCTAACATATCACAACTCAGTCCCACAGGAATTAAAAAAATGTAATTGACCTTTGCGGCTTTCAGTGACCTGTAAACCTATGAAAAATAGTTGAATCCTGTTCTTGCGAGAATACAAATGTTTAATATCGCCAAGTGAGTCCTTATCAAAAGGATTAAAATGAAGAGTCAGCTTCCGTGTAGATAAACGGATGGTTCATGTACTTTATTTCTCACTCCCGTGTGTACACAAATCCACTATTATAAAAACACAAATAGGATTTAGAACAGGTGGAAATTTGTCCTCCATGATTTTTGAATGTTGAATTTCTTTGTTGCCTTTTATTTTTGCTTGTGAGTGAGTGCAGGAGTTATCATGAATACTCCAAAATCAACAAATGTTTTCCATTTGCTCCTGCTTTTGTTTTGGTGTTGATCTGCTTGTACAGTTTGTAAAAAAAAAACATGTCCTAAGCATCGCCTTAAACTAGTCCACTGGTAGAAACATGGGGGAATGTCATCTACATTCCCTATGTTTTATATATACATAATCAAATAACGCTGGTTCACAAAGGTAGAGAAGACTTAGTATATGCAGTTGACCTACAGATTAATTAGTGCAGACCATAATAGAATCCTGCAATAAAATCTCCCTTCATAAAGGTTATATTTTTTGGTTTATTTATTTCAAAAAGCTGTTGATTGAAGAGATTTTGGAGGGCTTAGTTTGTGGTACTGTTGAACTCCGAAGTGTTTCCGTTATTTAGTCAACCTTTATAAACAAGGTGGACACAATGATAGAAACCCCTGTCAATATGAGGCAATACATTTAACAGCATGCAGACAGTTATGTTTCCCTCAGACGATTCATAATAACTTTGATATTCTCTTAGCATCACCCTGAAAGCAACATTTTAAAAGGGCCCTATTCTGCTCCTTTTCAGGTTCATCTTTGTATGTTGTGCCTTTTCTGTGACGTTGACCTGTCAAAAAGGTCTTTATTTTTCTCAGGCAGAGGCAAGGCAAGTTTATTTATATAGCACCTTTCAACACAAGGCAATTCAAAGTGCTTTACAAAAATGAAAAACATTAAGAAAATGGCATTTCAAATCAGTCATTAAAAAGCAAAGATAATAAAATAAACATTAAAATAAAAGATTCATGGATAAAAGTTACAGTGCAGTAGTTTAAGATGTGAATAGTTCAATTAAAAGCAGCAGCAAAAAGAAAAGTCTTCAGCCTGGATTTAAAAGTAGTCAGAGTTGCAGCGGGCCTGCAGGTTTCTGGGAGTTTGTTCCAGATATTTGGAGCATAATAACTGAACGCTGCTTTACCATGTTTAGTTCTGACTCTGGGGACAGAAAGCTGACCAGTCCCTGAAGACCTGAGAGTTCTGGATGGTTCATAATTTAGCAGGAGGTCAGAAATGTATTTTGAGCCTAAACCATTCAAAGCTTTATAAACCAGCAGCAGCATTTTGAAATCTATTCTTTGACACACAGGAAGCCAGTGTAAAGATTTCAGAACAGGAGTGATGTGATCCACTTTCTTAGTGTTAGTGAGGACTCGAGCAGCGGCGTTCTGAATCAGCTGCAGCTTTCTAATATATTTTTTAGTGAGACCTGTAAAGACACCATTACAGTAGTCGGGTCTACTGAAGATAAAAGCATGGACAAGTTTTTTCCAAATCCTGCTGTGACATTAGTCTTTTAATCCTAGATATGTTCTTAGGTGATAGTAGGCTGACTTAGTAACTGCCCCCCGGGACTGTGTGGGAGGAACTCCCTCTGGCGGGAACTTGCGATTTTAGCCTTTGCAGACCATTACAGGCACAAAAAGCTATAAAACACACTACGGGAAAAATAGTAGGGCCCCTTTATTTATTTTTTTTTTTTTTTGTGACCAAATACTTTAAAAACATCATGGCGATAGACTCTTTACATCTTCAATAGTCTGTGACTGTATGCCACAAACAGGCTAGAGAAGTAAATAAGTATTGAGATAAAAATGCTAATTTAATGCAGAAAAATATAAAATACAGAAAACAGTCAGTCATTTCATGTCACCTCTTAATGAGACGTCTGCAGGACACAAAGCAGGCGCCAGGTTTCCTGTGTGTGTGTGTGTGTGTGTGTGTGTGTGTGATGTCGCGAAAGCATTATGCTTTCGGATGATGCTTAATTTCTCACGTCCAAAAAGACAACAAGCTCCTGCTCAAGCCAATCGCACAAACTAATCAGAAATCAATCGCTGTAAAACAAAATAAATCTTCTTAAAATGTCCCTCCCCTCGCTCTCTAGTCTTGTTTCCATTTATGAAAGCAGATACCTCCTGGCTAGGCGACACAAAGCCTGTTGGGCTCTCTTGAGGGCTTCAGTCAGTCAAAGGCCTTTTTCACCCAGACAGCAGACAGACAGGGCAGGAAGTGTTTATTTTGCAACAAAAATATCCCTCAAAATTTTCTCATGCTTATATGAGTCCATGCAGCTGTTGACATGGGGTCAACTCTGTGATATTAAAGGTTTGTGTTCCATGTCAGGGTTCAGGAGGTGATGCCTTCAGGTTCATGTGTTTATCACTGATCAAATTACCTGACTGCCTGTGTATGATTTTTCAACATTTTGGTTTTCAGGTGGCTGGAGAGAAAATGCCATGTTGATGTTGCTCCACAATCAAAGGATATTATATTATTGTAGTTGAAATCTGTACAATTTAATGTATTTTTTTCAGTGAAGTAATTTCAGTTTATTGCACCACACTTTATTTATTAATCTCAGTTGGAAATCTACCGTCATGTAGAAAATAGCCTATGCTACCTATACCTTTACATTTTACTTCATATACATGTGCAATACTGTGCCATGTAAGTGAAGTGGACACGGTGCAAGTAATGCAACAAATCAAGCAGGGATAATGTAAAATTGTAGAGAAGATATTATCAGTTAATTGGAAGATGTTGAAAGTGTAAAGAGCTTGAGTTTTTTTCATTTGATTATGTTTAATTTGGCATGGCCATTTGAATCCCCGCAGGTTCTGTGATGTTTCCCTCGCAGTGGACCACAGAGAGGCACTGTTCTCTGTAAATACTGCACAGTTACGTTTAAACCTGTGCTGAATTATTTTTAACATTAGGTTTGATTTGATGACAGCACACGTATAACAGCCGTCTCATTGGGTTTGGTGGTCTGTACGTTTATGAATGATATGTAATTGAATTGTTAAATATCGTACCAGTGGTTGTAGTTCGAATACTTTCATGCATCAGTTAATTAGTAGCCTATATCTCTGATTGCAGTTGCGGCCCCGCCCCGCCCACGCGCGCCCACCTGCGCATAAATTATGCTAATGAGCAGGTGCAGCGGTTCTTGAGGCGCGCGGCTGGTCGCTCGTGGATGATCCGGATGGAGCAGCGCAGGGAGCAGCGGGAGTCCAGCCGGAGGGTTTTCACCAGGTGATGCTGTCCAAACCCGACTGACTGCGGATCCGCGAAACACGAATGGATCCCTATTTAAGACGGAGCTGGAAAAGGCTTCTTCACTTAATATCTTTGTATTATATTCTAATTTATCAAGGTGAGTCACATCCTTACACGGGAATATATTCTGCTGGTTATTCTGCACATATAGTGAAGTGTGTTTTTCTCAGAGAAAGTACAATAATCAGTCCTAGATGTCCCTTACATTTTTTGAAGGACTTAGAAAATTAGGACTAACAAGTCAAAATTGTTCTCTTGTCTAGATCTGATTCTATTTTTTTCATTTTATTAAAGTAATATTGACTATATATATTGTTCTATTATTTAACTTTTTACATTTTTCACATTTGTTTTTATTTTATTTTTGACTTTATTTCCCATTATTTCAGCGCATCTGTCCTTCGGTGTTGAGAAAGTGAACGTTTCTAACGGGAATGAATTTAATAAGTGAGTTATTTTTTATATATATTTCAATAGCATTGTGTTGTTTTTATAATTTTTCATCATCATTTAAATCCTTCTAGGTTATTTGCATTAATACATACAGTAAATAGTATTTTTGTATATAAAATATACAGTATTCAGTTTTTTGGTATTATACCAATACATTTAAGATAATGATATCAACAATATGTTATAGTTGTATCTAGGACTAAAACAGTTGGTTTATGAATCAATTAGTGGAACAACATAATATCAATAAGCATTTATTTTGAAAATCAATTAGTCATAAAAGTTATTTATTTTACCAAACTGAAAAGAAAACATCTTCTATTTTGCTTATCAAAATTACATTTTGCTGTCTTTTTTGGGTTAGGTTTAGGGTTAGGGAATTTTGAATACTTTTTTATTGTTGGTTTCACAACATTTTTTGACTAAAATGTGTAATCTTGTAAGCATTTTCACTATTTTTGACATGTTAGAGATCAACTAATTAATCAATGTATTGATAACAGCAATAAGAAGATTAAATGTAGCAGCCCTAGTGTTTTAGGTGGCGCTTTGTCACTGGAATATCATGGAGCAGGCATTGTTTGCTTGATTGATGGGTAGTTTTTGGGGGGGTTGTTTTTTTTGTTGGTGGTTTGGTTGGTTCCTGGTTGGTGGGTTTGTGGTGTTCGGGGGAAAGCTGCAACAGGAACAAACCTCTCCTTGTTCTCTCTGTCCCAGCAGCGGGAGCAGCGGGATAAAGCAGCAGAAATGGGACACCGCTTCCCAGGGAGGGCAGGTAGGCAGCCGCATTGATCATTGATGCTGATGGAGCTGCTTCAAGCAGCAAGCACACAGCCGCAGATCACCAAAAAATCTGCAAAGCTCACACCAAAACACAGAAAAGAAAAAAAAGAAAACTACCGTCACCTGAAGGGTTTTCTTCTAATAATGTATACACTGTGTGC